GAAAACAGACATTAAGCATCTCCTTATACAAATAATTATTTAATTCATGTATGGTAAGTGTTGCTGATTAGAAAACCCAGATGCTACCAATGCATATGACAAGAGTGCTGATCTTGAGTATGACTGGGGGATAGGTAGAATGGTCAGTGATTAAAGCAGACATCTACAATTTGAGAGAACATGGGGCGTGGGGGAGAAGGTGTACATGTAAAGAAATAGCAGGCATGAAGACTGAGATGGGAAGGAGTTTGTGGTGTATTTGAGGTCTAGAACACAGCGCAGTGAGCAAGAAGGAGACCCATGGTCTGAGCCTGAAGAAGTAGACAGGCGGCAGGTCATGTGGGCCTTGTAGGATATGTTAAGGATTTTAGACTTTGATTTTAAAGCAGTATGATGTTATTGAAAGGTTTAATTCTGTGGAATGACATAATCAGATTTGTACTTTGCTATGTGACAGAAAATGGAGGGGGTTGGGGCTGGGGAGGGTAGGGGAAGAAGATATGTGGGAAGATTATAATTAGACTATTGCAGTGGTATGAGAGACAATAGTGGCTAGATTATGTGGGGGCCATCAAGATGGGGAGAAATGGGTAGATTTCAGAGATACTTAGGAGGCAGAAATTAGAGGCTTGGCGGTTAATTGAAAGTGGGGAGTAAGGAAAAGATAGTGATGATTTCCAGGGTTTTAATAAGAGCAGCTTAGTGAATAGGATTGTCATTTACTGAGCTGGCAGGAGGAGTCTGTTTAGTGGGGGAAGATCATTAACTCAATTTTGAACTTGTTGATTTTGAGGTGTTTATGAGCTTTCTAAGTGGAGATATTGCCTATGTGGTTGAATATAGACATCTAGAGGACTGGACTGGAGATAACGCCTTTGGAAGTGTCGGCATAAAAATGGCATTTGAAATTATGACTTGGGTGAACATACCTGAAGAATTAGTAGGAACACTAAGAATTTAAGATTAAGTAAAGGGTAAACTCTCAAAGGTGACTGAGAAGGAAGAATTGGAGAGATAAAGAAGAATGAGGAGAACATGATGTCCTGTAAATCAAGGAAAAGGGAAGGGGTGGTTATTTTTGTCAAATCCTGCTGAGAGAATTGGAGGTCCATCTGTCAACACTGGCAGTATTAGTGACACTAGCAAGAGTGAATTTGATGGAGTCCTTGGGTATGAAAGTGAGATCAGATTGGGTTGAACGAACAGGGATTGGAAGATGAGGACTGGAAGATGAGGACGTGGTAAGAGTGAACCTAGACAACTGCTGAAGAGTTTGACCTTGATGGGGAGACAAGAAAGAGAGGTCACTAAAGAGCAATGTGGGACTCAGAGACTTTCTTTCATTTCTGTCTCTCTCTGTCTTTTTTTTAGACAGAGGCTTGCTCTGTCGGCTAAGCTGGAATGCATGGCACAATTTCGGCTCACTGCAGCCTCCACCTCCCGGGTTCAATCGATTCTCCAGCCTCAGCCTCCTGACTAGCTGGGACTACAGGTGTCCACCACCACACCTGGCTAATTTTTTATTTTTAGTAGAGGTAGGGTTTCACCATGTTGGCCAGACTGGTCTCAAACTCCTGACCTCATGTGATCACCTGCCTCAGCCTTCCAAGGTGCTGGAATTATAGGCGTGAGCCACCATGCCAGGCCAACTTTCTGTCATTTCTTTCCATTCCCCTGTCCCTCCATTCCTTTGTCCTGCCTTCTCTTCTTTCTTGCCCAAGATGGGAGAGAGCTGGACATGTTTAAATGTTGATAGTAAGGGTCCTTTAGAGAAGGTGAAGATTCTGTAGGAGGGAGTGGGAAGCAGACAAGGTCAGTTTCCAGAAAAGGCAGGGTAGATGGGATCTAGGGCATCCTCAGAGAGATGGGCCTTGAAAGGGACAGGTGCCTTCCCCACCATAATAGGAGGGTAGAAAGAGAGGTTACATGTAGAGGTAGGCAGGTTAGAGTTTCAGCTCAAAGGCTTCTGTTATCCAGGAGGCTAGATCTTCTCTTGAGAGTAAAGAGTGGGAGAGGGATCAGAGTTTCTGGGAGAGTGGAAAAGTTGTAAAAAGGAGAGAATGAGCAGATAGAAAAGTGAGGGATATGGTTTAGGATTATGGATTTACTGTGGAATTAATCTGTGTTGTTAATTTTTTGCCAGCAACTCCTGACTTCCTGGGTGCAGGCATGATCAAAAGAAATGGCTGGCTTCATGATAGTTAGGGTTCTGCTAAGTGGTTATGATAGATTTGAGTATTAAGAGGTCTAAGTATAAACAAGGACCATTGCTTTTTTGGTCACTTGGCGAGGTGTTGTGAATACCAAGATGTGGCAGTTTCCATTTTAAAGGGACGTCTGTCCAGAAGAGAAACCTAAACGTAATAGGTGGGTATTATGCTTTAAGAAACCATGCATCAGGGTAATGACGCGTGGGTCCCACATTGCTCCTTAGTGACCTCTCTTTCTTATCTCCCCATCAAGGCCAAACTCTTCAGCAGTTGTCTAGGTTCACTCTTCCCACATCCTCATCTTCCGTTCTCTGTTCAACCCACTCTTACCTCACTTTCACACCCAAAGACACCATCAAATTCATTCTTGTTAGTGTCACCAATACTGTCAGTGTTGACAGATGTACCTCCAATTCTCTCAGCAGGATTTGACACAACCACCACTTCCCTTTTCCTTGATTTACAGGACATCGTGCTCTCCTGATTTTTCTTTCTCTCTCCAATTCTTCCTTCTCAGTCACCTTTGATAGTTTACCCTCTACCCAGCTAACAGTACCTATTTCATAGAGTTGTTATGAGGATTAAGTAAGGAAGTGCAGTTGGGACATTTAGAACTGAGAAGTACTAAATAAGTACCTCATCATCGTTTGGATTATTAGTCATTTCCTTTCTGTCCTCACTGCCATCATTATCCTTTCATTATACCTGAGCTACAGTAGTAGTGTAATGCAAGTCTCCCTGCCTCCTCACCTTACATATCACGGCCTAAACGTATATTCCTGAAACTGCTTTTCATGACACCCTCCTCAAAAATCTTCAAGAATTTCTCACTAACTCTCATGACCCTCAAGGCTTCTCATAACCTTGTTCTAACTTAGCCCTTTAATAGCCCTACTTTGATAGACTACCGAATATTCCCCGAATACCACATAATCATTATCACTTTCATGCCATGATCATTTAATTCTTCTATTTTCGAATCCTTTTCTCTTCCTCAATATAGGGCTTAGTTCATATCCTGCTTCCTTCATGAACTCTTTCCTAACTTCTCAAAACTACATTGATATCTTCCTCAACTGAACTCTTCCACACACTGAACACCCATACAGGCTTTCCTATATTGATTTTTAAAATGGCCAGTCACCTACTTATGAAGATTCAACTTAAGCAACTAATTACACTTATCCAACTAAACCTACTTAGAGCACTTCATGTTGGCAGCATGGTAGCTAGGTGAAATAGCATATATCATTCTCTGTGTACCAGACAATGTGCTGAGTGATTAATGTATGCTATTTCGTTTAATACATACAGTAACTGTAGGACCCTTGATTTTGAAACCGAACCTTAGAGAGGTAGGTCAGCTGCCCAAGGTCACTAGCTAGTGACCCAGGCTTGTATTAATACACTATTATTACTTCTACTTAAGAAGAGATAATAGGCCAGGCATGGTGGCTCATGCCTGTAATCCCAGCACTTTGGGAGGCCAAGGCTTGTGGATCACGTGAGGTCAGGAGTTCAAGACCGGTCAGACCATGGTGAAACCCCGTCTCTACTAAAAATAAAAATTATCCAGGTGTGGTGGCACGTTGTCTGTAGTCCCAGCTGCTCGGGTGGCTAAGGCAGGAGGATCACTTGAACCCAGGAGGCAGATGGTACAGTGAGCTGAGATTGCACCACTGAACTCCAGCCGGGGTGATAGAGTGAGACTCCATCTCAAAAAAAAAAGTGATAATAGAAAATTTTCTTCTATGACTGATATTGCTCAGAAGGTAATTCTAAAAAGGAGTCTTTTAAAATGTTTTGTTCATGGCCAGGTGCAGTGGCTCTAAAAATACAAAAATTAGCTGGGTGTGGTGGCATGCGCCTGTAGTCCCAGATTCTCACTGAGGCACAAGAATCGCTTGAACCTGGGAGGCAACGGCTGCAGTGAGCTGAGATCTTGCCACTGCACTCCAGTCTGGGTAACAGAGTGAGATTCTGTTTCAAATAACAATAATAATAATAGTAATAATAATAATAATAAATAAAATGTTTTGTTCAATTCACTATTTTAAAAGCAAGCACTCATTCAAATGGACCTTTTAATGGTATGACAAAACTAAGCTACAAAGAAGATAACCTTCCCAAAATGAACATCAGCAAATATTTTAAAGCAGAGATTCTTCCTTTTCTCCTTTTTTCCATTTCTTCTCCCACATGGCTGATCATTTGCTTCCCAGGAGTTACCACTCTCGTTTATTATTCGTCACACTGTATAACTCCTTGTCTGTGTATCTGCGAGAGGTTCTCAAAGCCCCAGAATCGATGGCATTCTTTTATACTTTTTATATCATCAAAACTTCAGGATTTTTATAGTGCCTAGTAAATAGTAGGAGTTAAATAACTGTGAAAGAATTAAGGGTCAGTAGGACTTAGTTCCTTGCTTGGGGCACAAGGGAAAGAAAATAGATAAGGATCAAATAATTTGGGAACTTGGATTTATTATTTGCATAGCATGAGTTTCTTTCATTATTAAAATGATCTGCAAAAGCGTATTTTTCCGTCTGAGTACAAGCTATTTAGGTACAAAGATTTTCTTCCTTTGCAGGTGAACCTAGTACCAATAAATGTTAACTGCTAATTACTTTATTATCATTGTTATTATTAATGTTAACATTATCTGATCATATCAAACAAAATGTTACAAAGCTTGTAATAAATGTTATTTTTTGTAAGGTTTTTGCCTCAAGTTGTTTGCAAAGTCTAAAAATACTCAGATTGTATTTTTCTCTCTTGTTTTTGTTATAGAATACTTCAGAGAGTCAGAGTTGTGCCAGAAGTCTCTTAATGGCAGATAGAATGCAAATAGTTGTGATTCTCTCAGAGTTTTTTAATACCACATGGCAGGAGGCAAATTGTGCAAGTAAGTAATTCTTTCATTTTCTTGTTGCAGTTACAGTTCAGTAGTATAAATGTCAGATTTTATTTTAGTGAATTTTGGGATCTTTGAAGCTGGATAATACTTTTTATTGCTAAGTTTAAATGAACTGTCATGGACACCATAGTTTATTAATGGCAACTGAGCAAATGGTGAAAGGCAGAAAAGTGTAGCAGTTACTACGCGCTTTGGATTTAGACAGACTTGAGTTTGATTCTAAGCTCTACCACTTACCAGCCCTAACCTACTAGCTGTCAGATATGGGAGAAAAACTTTGCCTCTTGGAAGTTCAGTTTCTTCATCTGTAAATTGGTGGTAATGATAGAACCTATCTTATATAGTCACCTTGAGAATTAAATGAAGTAAATTGTGTAAAGCACTTAGCTCAATGCTTGACACATATTTAATGTTCAAGAAATGTTAACTGTTTAGTATAATAATAATTATGATGTTTACAGTAATCTGTCAAGTGGTGTGTGGCAGGGGATGGGGTGGGGTGATAACATCTGTTCTACCTTCTTTGCAGGTTTGTGTGTAATTGTGTAATACAGTAATACAGTAAGATCTATTTTTAGATAGTCTTTGGAAAAATTAAAATCACTATTCCAATTCAGATGGTGTTTTGAATACCAACTATGTACCAGGCAGTTCTTATTTTTCAAGTCTTTCAGTTTAGTGAGTGAGAAAGATATATTTACAAATACAACCTAGGACAGACACATAAATGCTTTAATAAAGTTATAGAATCCTTGGAGGAAGAAGAATACAAATTTTACTGGGGAGAATATGAAGTGACTTCCTGGAGGAACTACCTTTTGAACCTAGGCCTGTACTATTGGACATTATTTCAATAAGTAGAGATGACGCCAGTGAGGTGGCTCACGCCTGTAATCCCAGCACTTTGGGAAGCCAAGGCAGAATTGCTTGAGCCCAGGAGTTTGAGACCAGCCTGGGGAACATAGTGAGATCCCCGTCTCTACCAAAAAAAAATTTTTTTTAATTAGGTGGGCATGGTGGCGTGTGTCTGTAGTCCTAGCTACTTGGGAGGCCAAGGCAGGAGGATACCTTGAGCCCAGGAGTTCAAGGGTGCAGTGAGCTATGATTGTGCCACTGCATTCCAGCCTGGGCAACAGAGCAAGACCCTGTCTTTAAAAAAAAAAAAGTAGAAATGAGAGAAGGACATGGCAGGTAGTGGCATGGGCAGAGGCACAGAGGTATAAAAGGGCAACAGATGTTCCAGGAAGCATAGTGGGAGGTAAAGTTGGCAAGGGAAAGTAGGACCTTGACTGATAGAGTAGTTTACTGTTTGGGCCAACATTTTTTATACTGCTTAGAATATCACTATATTATTAAGAAGGAGTTATAGACCAGGCATGGTGGCTCATACCTGTAATCCCAGCAGTTTGGGAGGCCAAGGTGGGAGAATTGTTTGAGCCTAGGAGTTCAAGACCAACTTGGGCAACATGGCAAAACCTTCTCTAAACAAAAAATAAAAAATTAGCTGGATTTGGTGGCGTGTGCCTGTAGTCCCAGCAACTTGGGAGGCTGAGGTGGGAGGATTACTTGAGCCTAGGAGGTCAAGGCTGCAATCAATCATGATTGTGCCACTGCACCCCGGTCTGGGCAACAGACCTAGACCCTATCTACAACAACAACAACAAAAAAAAAAAAAAAAGAAAAGAAAGGCTTATACAGTATTCTCCTATTATGATTATACAGTATTCTGTTAGCCATGGTTTCACTTGCTGTAGTTTCAGTTACTGCAGTCAACTGCAGTCCAAAAATATTAAATGGAAAATTTCAGAAGTAAACAATGTATAAGCTTAAATTGTGTATGATTCTGAGTAGCATAATGAAATCCCACGACATCCTGCTTCATCTGCGTGGGCTGGGAATCATCCCTTTGTCCAGCATAACTATGCTGTAGATGCTGCCTGTCCTGCGAGGCACTCAGGAACATCTTGGTTTTAAGGTCAGCTGTCATGGTGTGGCACTACTTGTGTTCAAGTAACCCTTAGTTTACTTACTAATTCTTTAGTAATAGTAACATAATTATTAGTTTTTGTTTTTAATCTCTTACTGTGCCTAATTTATAAATTAAACTTTATCATGGGTATGATATAGAAAAAAGATAAAATCATAGTATATAGAAGGTTTGGTACTATACTTGAAAAAAATAGAAATAGAAAAAGCATATTATATAGAAGGTTTGGTACTAGGTTTCAAGCATCCATTGGGGGTCTTGGAATGTATCCCTTGAAGATAAGAGGTGACTACTATATGTTGTAATATCTTTGGGATTTACAATGTACCTGGAATATTAAATGCATTGAGTAGTACTACAGAGTTTTTTAAAAGGATTTTGTTTTTGGCTCAATGGGGAGGCTCACACCTGTAATCCCTGCACTTCGGGAGAACACGATGGTAGTATTGCTTGAGCCCAGGAGTTCAAGACCAGCCTAGGCAACAAAAAAAAGAAAAGAAAGGAAAAGAAAAACATTAGCTGGGCATGGTGCCAAACGCCTGTAGTCCCAGCTGCCTGGGAGGCTGAGGTGAGAGGAGTGCTTGAGCCCAGGAATTGGAGGCCGCATTGAGCTATGATTGCGCCACTGCACTCCAGCCTAGGCAACAGAGCAATACCCTGTCTTAAAGAAAAAGGTTTTTTAAACATCATTTAACCTAGCACTTTCTAAGCCTTAAAAAAAAAAAAACCAAACTGCAAAGATCCTTTTTTCATGGAACCTCATTGGAAGAAAGAGAGACCAGTAAGAAGTTTACTGCTATAGTTTAGGCAAGAAGGAAAGAAAATGTGAAGTAGGGAGGGGCCTTGGAAATAGAAGGATAGATTAAAAATTTGTGTCCCTATAAGTCATTAAGTAGCTTAGCTTTTATAAAGACTTATCTTTTTGTTTAGTTCATATGAAGGAAAACTAAAATGGGATAAGAAGCCCCAGCTAGTTTTTTTCCCTTGTCATTATACCATGGTATATTGAATATTGACTTTTAAAATTTTGTCTCCGAAGCTTGACTAACACAACTTTTTTTTTTTTTAGCATATCCTTTACTTTTCAGAGTAAAATTTTCTAGTATAAATATGATTGAAGAGCATTTGCTTAACATATGTAAACCTGTTTTTAAGTATTAAGCTTTTTAGAAAAATCCATTAACATAGAAAATATGTTAATTATAAATAATTTAAAATCAGTTAATTGGAATAAGTGGATATGTACTGGGATTCACTTCTTTATTTTTAAATTTTATTGAATTCATTTAATTTTTTAAGACTAGTCAAATGAAGCAGTGAGAAGAGGAGAAAGAGTAGAACAAGGAGTTCAATCTGTAACTGACTGTGAACAATTAATTGAGATAACTCACTACCTTCAGATAAGCCAGGGTTTCACTTCTTTTGACTGATGTGACTAAATTTATATACTTAGAAGAGGTAAGGCATTTTTTTCTTTAAAAGATGTTTTTGTTTGTTTGATTTTTGAGACAGTCTTGCTCTGTTGCCCAGGCTGGAATACAGTGGCACAGTCTCAGCTCACTGTAGCCTCCACCTCTTGAGGGCTCAAGCAGTCCTCCAGCCTCAGCCTCCCAAGTAGCTGGGTGTGGGGAAAAGAAAGAGAGATCAGCCTGTTACTGTGTCTATATAGAAAGAAGTAGACGTAAGAGACTTCATTTTGTTCTGTATCTGAGATGCTGTTAATCTGTGACCCTGCCTCCAACCTTGTCCTTGCAAGAGACATGAGCTGTGGTGACTCAAGGTTTAATGGGTTTTGGGCTGTGCAGGATGTGTCTTTGTTAAACAAGTGCCTGAAGGCAGCTTGCTGGTTAAAAATCCTGCCTGTCCCTGGGCAATGGAACATCTCGGTGTGAGACCCGATTGTATGCTCTGTTTACTGAGATAGGAGAAAACCGCCTTACGGCATAAGGTGGGACTTGCTGGCGGGACTTGCTGGCGCAATGCTGCTAAAAGGTTTGTGGAGATGTTTGCATATGCGTATTAAGGCACAGCATTTTTCTTTGAACTTACCCATGTCACAGAGATCTTTATCCATATGTCTTACTGCTAATTTTCTCCCTAAAATGATCCTATTGTCCGGCCACTTCCTTATCTTTAAGACGGTAAAGATAATTATCAATAAATACTAAGGGAACTCAGAGACCGGTGCCGGCGTGGGCCCTCTGTATGCTGAGCGCCAGTCCCATGGGCCCACTTTTTTCTTTCTCTATACTTTGTCTCTGTGTCTCATTTCTTTTCTCAAGTCTCTCGTTCCACCTAACGAAAAACGCCCACAGGTGTGGAGGGGCAGGCCACCCCTTTAGCTGGGGCTAGAGGCAGCACCAGGATGCCTAGCCAATTTTTGTGTTTTTAATGGAGAATGGGGTTTTGTCATGTTGCCCAGACTGGTCTCAGATTCCTAGACTCAAGCCTCCTTCCTTGGCCTCCCAAAGTGCTGAGATTCAAAGTGTGAGCCATTGTGCCTGGCTTAAAAGGCATTTTCTAATAAAGACTTCACTAATTCGAAGTACAGACCTTTTTTGCTCAGTTAGTTGAAAAGAAAACGTTTTACTGCATATTTACGCAGTATGGCAGGTATAAAATGCTTTAGAAAAAATTCTTAGGGTAGTTTGTTCCTCTGTGAGGCATCCTATCTTGAAAATATTCCTTACATTGAATTCTGAGGACCAAATAAAATGCTAAGCAATTAGATATGACTTACTTAAAAGACTCTTCCCAATTAAAATTAATTTGGCCCAGACATACGGTCTCAGGTAAAAGAAGCGAGGTACAGAAAAGTATGATATTTTGTATTCTAAGAATACGTATGTATTTTGAAGGAAGGTGGTTGGGTAGCTGCGTGGGCAGGAAAGGAAGGAAGATTTAGTTTTCACTGTATTTGCATTTGTACCCTTTGGATTTTATGCCATATACATTTAATACCTATTCAAAAATATATAGAAATTTAAAAAATTTAACAGAA